AATCTGAGGGATTCCATACTTTTTAAGAGCTGAAACAACAGCATATCAAAGCGTTAACACCAGAAGAAAACGCTCTTAACGTAAAGCGATACACACAGCTGTCGGCCTTAACCGGGCTCACCGTGTTTCACTTAAACTCAGACAAAGAGGCCAGTAGTCAAATTTTATACTTCGGGCACTTGATTTACTGTGAAAAATGGCTGTCAGCGTTGAGAATATGTCAAGGATGTTATCTGGATTTGTGAGAAAGTCATAGGTGTGCTCTGGGTTTTATCGTTCTCTCGTTGCCTCGAGACTGTGACCCCTGGGTGAGGACACGGCTTGTTTCTCTGTAATCATTCACTTATAGCCTTGGGTTGCGTGGCAGTGACAGGCATTGTCTTGGCTCTTGAAAACAAAGTAAAGTTATCTACTTATATAATAGACCTGCATTACTGACACCCCAGGCATGTATTTTGTTCTAAAACCAATGACTCTGAAACAGTTTAGTACTCTGTATGTACACTAGCATTCTAAAGTTTGGTAACGCTTCCTTTTTTCAGTACAGTACAGTGTACTTATCTAGAAAGTACTGCTAATATAAGGTAAGTACAGGTTTAGGGGTAGGTTCAGGGTTAGTAATTACCCAGTAATTGTAGTTACTAAAATAAGTACATAGTATTTACATGGGTAACTGGACTGTAAAAGGAAGCGTTCCCCTAAAGTTAAGGGTCGATATTGTAATATAATATTTTTGTCTTTTATGCTCTGCAGGGATGCATTTATTTGTATCAGAAATGGGTTACACTTTATTTTAAGGTGATGAGGTGACATTGTACTTCCTCAAATAAGTACTTAACTACATGTTAATTAATTATGAGTTATGTGGCAATGTGAAGCAGATCTGTGCCTTAACTGTCTAGTAGACTTTTGTGTTTTTACCCTTTATGGGAACGTGATGGTGGAGCCATTCTGGAGGGTGGCCCCAAAAACTGTCGCCGTGTAAACGAAAGGGACATCCGATACAATATTTTTACGTTTTCACCCGTGAGAGTTCTCGTGTAAAAGGCCAAAGCCGGAGCTTTGTTCACATTCTGAGGGAGACACATGCTGTAAACAAAACAATCTTAGCCAACATGTCAGGATTTCGACACAGAGGAAGACTTGTATTTTTTTTGCCCAGCCATAATTTTTTGAACCCGAATTCACACCAGACACACCGGAACACGTCAACAGCATCTTGCGTCATCAGCTCAATGCGGACTCGTGAGAGCGGATTGACAACAGAACCGGAAGACAATACAATGCTGAAAAAAGTTGTAGTTTTTGTTATTTTTGGACCAAAATTTATTTTCGATGCTTCAAAACATTCTAATTAACCCACTGGGTTAGGTTTCACAGACAAGGCTTAAGCCTAGAGTCACAGACTAAAATTCTGCCTGCCTCCCTCTTGTATTCAAGGCAATGACAGCATTGCACTACAATAACAATAATATTAAACGGAACAAAAAATTATTTCAAGATAAGGTAGGTGAGAATGAGATAGATGGATAGAGAAACATTTAATTGTGGAACTATTAAATAAAATATATTTTGTTGTTGAAATGGCGAGACTGGCAGAGTGCAAGACTTGTGGGTGTGGCACTGCAGCGTGCCCATGGACACCGGTCATAGAGGGAAGTAGGGGGCTGTTGCAGCATGCCTTTCTCTCTTCCACTCTCTCAGTGTCCCGCCCCCTTTGCCACTGCCATCTATTGGCTTTCCCAGAATGCCCTCTGTCTGAGAGCACTGGCCTGAAATAAAACTATGAGGGCCTGCGCATAGAGAATGGGAGCTTTGTCTCAGCTGCCATTTACACTGTCTGGGGGCATAGAGACAGAACTCAAAGAGAGTGTCTGATTGCAAATTAGCACAGCCCAGGGCTCAATGCTCCATGCACTCATACACACTCACGCACTGGCGGTGTGAGGCGTGGAGAAAGTTCTGCATTAAACGCCGCTGAAGATCATTACGCTCTTTCGTTCTATTGAATAGTGCCCCATTTCAGTCAGGGGCACAAAAAATAATTAGTAGCAGGCTTCTCTTGAGCTGACTTGCGTATGACCAAAGCATTTGTGCTTGCTTAGTATGCAAGTGATGCCGGGTCTGAATTTGTGATTAGATGAAAAAGACAAAAGGTGCAGCCGGTGCACTGCAGGAGCGACGTCTCTACATCAGCAGGCTCCGCGAGTGGGCCTCTCACTACGTTTCGGTGTGATTGACACGTGTCAGAGAGGATCACGTGCAATTTGTTACATGACGACTCTATTTGGCGTGAGAATTCACCGTCTTCATCTTACAAATGCAAATGTAATCATTTCGAATTGTTTGACCTATATGCACCCTGGCCAACTGTTTTGAAGGCAATCGGCTGACCGAAGAAGCAATTTAACCAGCGCAAGGCCGTGAAGGTTGTGTGTATTAAATGCCATAATAAAATCTTCCCATGACTTTCTGGTTTATAAATGTGGAGCACTTGCTGGCATTAATGTCTACCCTTTTTTCTTGCATGTAAAATTGAGTCATGTAATGCTGGATACTACAGTGGTTCAATTATAAGTTTCATGTAAACATGTGATTCCATGTGAACTCAACAACCTTTTCAGAATAATCTGCTTGCCACCATCTCCTGTTAATTCCCACGAGGCCACTTTGTGTAGGACATAAACACACGCGCGTTCACACATAGGACATAATTCGCCCTTTTAATCTGATTAGCTGTGTCTGTATGGATGAACCTGTGGGTTCATTGAGTGTGTTCCTCTTCTTGTACTTTAACCACTGGCAGAGTGGTGAAGCAATGACAGCAGTATTCATTGGGAAAGTAATCTGATTTTTGGATCCAGAGGGGAAAAATGCATGGTAAATTGTTCTTAAAATACATTTTAGCCGTCATATCTGTCAACCACCATCCTGTATGAGAACAAATATTTTCCTCAAGTGTTAAAAACATGTTAGTTAGGCCTATTTGTTATGTCAGTTCTATCCCTTTTTTTAACTTGCATTAACTCTCAAAAAGGAATATTAACTAAATAAGGGTGATCAAAGCTTTTATGTGATTTATTTTGTCTTTGTAATAAAAATTAAAACAGTATCTAAAAATGTCAGCCCAAAAGGTAAACTAATTATTTATTCTGTCTTCTGCTCATTTTATTGGAAAAATATTGCCTTGTTTAAAAAACTTTTATCTGTATCTGACAGATAAAACAGTTCACTGCCTGTTTTAAGTGGCTTTAAGTAATTTCTTACGAGCATGTATTGTGTTTAAAAATACATTTGTGAAATCATTATTGCTTACTATGGGCTACAAAGGAGCCCTGAAGCAGAAAAAAACAAACTAATGGTCTTTGAAAGTCAATGAAAAGCATAAATTAGAATATTAAATGTCATCTAAAGAGTTATTTCCTCAACAATAGCGTTGGAAGCTACAGTACTTATTTTGCACATTATTCTGTATACTGAGCACCCAGACACAAATTCTTAATAGGCCTATTAATGATGCAATTTAGCCTAAAATTATATTTAAAAATAATAAAAGATGACTCTCTTGTTACTTAGCCACAACCAGGTGAAAATGCCCTTTTAGAATGCCTTTGATAGTGCACACACACACACACACACACCCGCACACATAAAGGTTTAACACCAAATCACCTGATATCCCGAAGCCCTTCTGACTTAACCCTTAATTTAATCCTCCTGCCCCATTTGTCATCCAAAAATAACTTTTATAAAACGTTATGACACCAAAATTTACTTTTACAGAATTGTCAAATTTTCTTATAAATGAAAGTGCTTTAATGACTAATGTAAATATTCACATGATCACAACTGTTTAATGCCAGTTTGCCCTTTTGAAAGATGTCTGTTTCAAAGCTACCAACATTTAAAGGGTCTATTTTTCTCATATTAATCATCACAATAATCATGTAACTATGTCAGTGGTCACATTTTTAAGTAGCTAGTAACTGATTGATTCTTCGTTTTTTTAATAAAGCATTGTCACACTTTACGTGAAACATTAAACATAAAAAATCCATAATAATATTCCTAAAGTTGCTGATAATAGTAATAATTAAAAGTTAAAAAGCATGATCATTAATGTTGTATGTTTTGTAACTTTATTTTGGGTCTTATTGAGCAATTGTTTACAGAAACAATGAGCAGAAAAAAAATCATAAACTTTTACCAACAGTTTAACTTAACTCCCTTTTCTTTCTTTTAGAAAATGCATGCAACGTTAGTTTATTTCATTGTAACGTTAAATATCACTTAGCTGGGCCTAGGACAATTTTGGGGTTTAAATAACGTTAGCTAACGATGGATTACAAGACCCGGGACACCTTAACATACAAACATTCTTGAAAAACATGTTTAAACGCCTTTAAATATTTCATAAGTAACTTAGGCATTTGTACTAAAATGTACGTATAATATTTTATTATTACAACATACAAGGCAACATGTAAGTTAACGTTAGTTATTTATTTTATGGATCAGCAAATGACCAGATATAATTTCAAACACCTTCTTTATTAAAAAATAGTAGAATCCAACATAATGGATGTTTCTGAACCACACTTGTATTTACTTTTTATCAACGGTAAATAAAAGCTCCTCAAGTCTAAACTTTTACCTCAGATTTGTCTTCGGTTTGAAAACGGACTGCATATTCGTCGGGCTGAGGTAAATCTGCCAAACGGGTCGACCTCGACGAGCCCGTTTATTTAAAAAAATAAATATTAAGCTCACGGCCACCATCATTATATATCCAATGTGAATAAGAATAAACTGTGTAATTTGTGCTGATATTAGATAGGTCAGCGGCTGCTGTCTGGCTCTTGTGTAACGTCGCTGCGCGCGCTCGTGTGTGTGTGTCTGTGTGTGTGCGAGCGAGAGAGTGAATCACAGTTAGTTCACCTTAGTTGAACTTGTGTGATAGTTCACGGTAGTGTGAGGCTGTTGGTCGGGTCCTATGACTGCGGGGAGAGTGAACAGGTCCTCTTGATCTTTTAAAAATATCTAACTTTACCCCTAAAAGACGCAGTGTGTCGTCATTTTTTTGTCTAACGTTAGATGGGAAGGCTGTGATTGTTTGCTCACGGACGGGTTGTATTAACGGTCGTGTGTTAATCTAGCAAAAGTGTCCGCGCTACAGGGAATTTCAGCCTGAACTTGAATAATAACGGTCGTCGTGGTTTATTCACCGACCCCCGTCAAGTTTCTTTTGTTTGTTTATTTTGCCGTTTCTAACAACAACTAAAGGAGTGCGAATGACCTAGATGAAGCTAAGAAGCGGATGAAACGTGGACGTAAATAATGTAAGTTTGCCGTTATCATATTGTAGTTGGTCCCGTCGGTTGATTTTTTTTCTTTCTATTTTTTGCTGTTACGCTTGAAATTATATGCGTCAATGAATGATACGAAGCCGGCATATGGGGCATTATTGAACTGTAGCCTAGTTTTCACAGCTTGTTTTCCTGGCATCAAATGTAAAATATATGTCGAGCACGCACTCGAATCGAGGAATAGTTCATTTTATTAGCTAGTGCACATCGAATAGAATAATATAGTAATACACACATCAGACAGAAAAAGAGGTCAGTTTCTCGTGGCCAGACGTTTTTGTTCACGCATTTCAAGTAATCGATCGTTCTGCTCTCGTTTGGGTTTGTATAACGTTAGATTCTTAACTGTTATCTTTTACTGAACGCACCATGAGACAGATCTAACGTCAAGTCTTCTCGTTTAAAAGAGAAATTAATCTAGTATATGTAACTTACTTCATAAATGGGGTGTCTTATTAACATATTTCTGCCAAACCAATGTCTTTTTTCACAGACTATTTCATCCCAGCTATTTCAAACTGAGATTGTCTACAATGTCTCATGCAACTTAGTGAAATTAATTATTTAATCTTAACTAATGTAATTATTATTAAAATTGAATATTGTATGTCCCCTTTGTATTGAAAATTCATGCTAATATCTTAGTTTACATTCTTGTATCATGCATAAGTCCTCAGCCACTTTTGGTTGATCATAATGCAGTTATTTAAATACATTCCACTTTGACATGGTTTTATTTCCCTAAATGCATATTTCTAGTGTTGTAGACATTTCTTAAATATTTTTTATTTTATTTTTACGGTCAGTGAAATATAGCTTATTCTGTGTGTGTGTGTGTGTCTGTGTTGCAGTGGTGCTTGAAATGGCGAAAATCTTTTTCGGACTCAACCCAGAGATGGAATGCACGTTCACCTTTTATCTGGTAAGATTTTATCTTTAAATATACAGTTTTGAATTTTTTCAGGGTGAGCAACTCTGTATAAATAATTGAATGTGATAATAATCTGCTGTAATATGCTAAAAAGGAAATGACAGTTTTCTGCACTTCTGTTGTACTCTACATCAGACAGATGTTAGAATAAAGAAGCCTACTGAATAACCGAGACTGTAGTTTCAGGTGCATATATTGCTTTACTATGTGTATGTGTTTTGTAATGTATTATTAATATATTTGAAAGTGCATGGATTTGTGCATCTCATTTTGTGTCTGTGAGGTAGGCTATTACTTTTAGTTGACTAGCCGAACACCTCTGTGTGTTGCACACACATGCTATAACATGTTAACCACTGTCCTTTGAGAATTGTTATGCTGACTGTGCGTTTTGCACGTCAGGTTATGGCGGCCTGCTTATTCTCTAATTTCCTTTTGTTAATAATTTTTTGAATTTGTAATACTTTCGAATTCGTTGTCAGTCTGTTTGAAGGTGCTTTCGAGAAATTCAGCTGTAGTTGTCCTTATCATTGCTTTGTTACATTTTATGGAAACAAACAAAAATCTCTTCCCTCTTATTTTCTGGTTGGTGTATTTATAAGTATGGGGATGTTTTAGGTATTTTTTGAGGTTTTACATGTTTTCCTCTTAATGTGATTCAACACTCACTGTAAACAGTGCCATGCATTATTTTGAAGGGTCTATGTGTCTTTCTTTTTTCCACAATAATTTTTCTAGTCGTATACTTTTGACAGAGGAGTTCAGAATGCTGATATCAGTACTTCAAAAAATAAACTGAAAAAAAAAGAGAAAGTTCATCAGTCATTTGTGCAATCTGTTTCCACTTGTCTTAATGTTGTCACTCAGCACTTGATCTAGGCTATCTTGCCAAAAATATCTTTTCATTTACATCTCCTGTCGGTGAAATAACCAAACCTCCGTTGAGCACAGAGCTCCGTAACCCGAGGCGGGAAGAATCGGGCCAGGCCGACGCTGAGAGCACACGATTGCATTCAGTTGGTCTGGCTGACTTCGTAATGTGTGTGTGCACACTGTAAGTGTCTTTCCATGACTGGCCCCTGATGCTACAGCCACGCCAAACTGTCAATCCCACAGGAATGTCTCCCCAAACTCTCAGCAACAGATGACAGAAATTTGGCATATGTTATTGTCATATTCTTTTTCTTCATCCCTCCTCTGCTTTTGTGCTCGGCTTCAGGTTTTTTCTGTGCGCTCTCCCAGTTTTCCCTTGCTGCATTTCAGCAGAGACAGAAGGCCAAGCATGTAATGTGTCAACATGACCTGGACTCTGTGCTGTAATCTGAGCATTACGCTTGGCCTTTCGAAATGATTTGATAATGATGCTGACGGCTCGTTACCGGCATCTTTTGCCGAAACACTTTGAAAATCGCCAGATAATTGAGCAAAGCCAACCGAGCCCTTTGAGATTACAAAGAGAAGAACAGTCCTACGCGCTCTTTGCGCTGGCCAAGTCATAAATTCATCTGTCTCGTAGCTGGCCTGCATCCAAGCTAGTTTACCTCAGCTAACCCTGCGAAAAAAGCATTCATCATTTAAAATTTAAAATGCAATAGCCACAGAGAGAGGAGAGGAGGCGCCTCGGCTAACTTGTCACATCCACACAATCAATCCTCGCTTTTGTGCAACTCTCTGAGATGATTTGAGTGGCCTGTAGTGTCAGCTGAGGTCAGGGGCGTGTCCTGAGCTTTTAGCCTGTAGCCTGTCTGAAGCTGGCACTAAATGGTTGCACAGATGTGAGGAAGAGCTGTTAGGGCGCTGCATGTCCAGGACAGGAGTCTGGAACATTACAGGTCACTGGGGGATGTGCCTAAGCTGCTCAGATTCACGGTGCAGCAGAGGACAGTCGGACTGACACACATTCTGTGGTCACAGGGTTGCGTTTTACCTGTCATGCAGGGAGACATCAGGTGACGCATTCTGTGAGTGCTTGTCCTCTGTGAGTGCGTGAGGTAACTGAGGTCATGTGTGTGATTTATGGATGTCAGCGTGTGTGCGCGTTTGTTTTAGAGAATTGTGGGTATGAGCGAGGAGCTCTTAAGTGCTTGACCTAATTTCGCAGGCAGAGAAGAATTCGACAGTGAAGGCCTTCCTCTGTTAGTGTGAGGTTGCTGTGCTGGGTGTTTCCTCCCAGGGTCTAACAGGAAGCTCATGTTTGAGTTCATTTGAGGACAGGGAGAAGGCTTTTCTTTCCACTGTGGATCATTCTAGAGAGGGGGAGAAAGCCAGGGCCTCACCTCTGAATTGCCCTTCTGCAATCTGGCATGTGTTTTAGCTCCTTATACTGCTGTATTGTCTATTTTGGCTGAACTTAAGTTGTTTTTTTTTGCTCCTGCCAAGAAAACATCTATTTTTTGGGCTTACAGTGAGCAGGAGCTGAGATCCCTAGTCAAAAATGACTTAATGAGTCCTGTGAGCAAATGAAACAATCCTCTGCAGGGTTCTCTCCTGCTTCCTTTGGTTCGGTTTTACATTCCACGCTCAACTGAGCCGGGTCGTGACCCGAGAAAATGCTGTGCTGTTCGCGGTGGTTTTGGATGAATATTCGCGGCACAGATGAGCTTATGGACGGTTCTTGAAACGAATGAAAGTGCTTGTGCTTTTTCATTGAGTTTAAGTAAGTGTTCATGGGCTGTGATTTGTTGTCCACAGGTTCGGGGACTTTGGACGACTCTGACAGACATGATTGACTACGCAGGTGAGAAACAATTTGACAAACTAAAGTGACCATCAACATACAAGTTGCAGTGCCATCCTTGTCTCAACTGCCAGTAAATTAACTAAATTCGTTTCGAAAAAATAGTGATCTAAAATGAAAAATTCTTTTGAGAAATAAAATAGGCATATTTTATGCAACTTTAAATGGTTCCATTGAAAATATTTGGAATGTGCAAATATTTAAACTACTGTGTGAATATTATATAATTGATATGTTTCTTTTACAATAATAATTGTTGTACAGTCTTAAGTGCATATTGCAGCCAGTCTGCAGGCCTGCAGTGTTCGTGCGGTCTCTTTGAAATGTGAATTCTGAGTGGGAGGCCTCTCTATTCATCTTCTGTGAACGTTTCATGTTGGTCTTTAGTGAAGTAAGAAGATATCAGGGATTCTAGACACGTTTTTTCCAAATTAGAATGTACATGATATGTGCTGCATAATCCTAAATGTTCTGACACTTGATTACATGTTCATAACATCATACGCAGATCAAATCTTTCATCAGACAGTGGGGTCGTTCAAATCTAGGGCACGTCTTTGAGAGCTTATTTCTATGGTGGGCAGAGCAGAAAAATGATGAGGATTGACCTGTTAGTCTCCCATTGCATCAGTTTGGCTGAAATTAGAGGCAGATTTGGGATGAAAGGTTTGCAGTATCCTGATTGTCTGAAAAGGATCGGTACAGCGTGCCTGCGCTCATAACCACACTGATCAATCATGATTTATCTTAGTGGTAAAGTTGTCTTCTTTTTTTTTTTCTTCTTTGTGACGCCTTTTTTTTACTCTGTTCATCGCTGTCTTTTAGGTTGACATGTTGGTTGTTTCATGGATTTCGAAGTGTGTGAAATTAGCATGACATGAACTAAAACATTCTGTCTTTGTGGTCTTACTTTTGCAAAACATCCCAGTACCTCCAAAATGAGTTTATTTATGTATTTATTTAATAGTCAGTGGTGCTCCCAAACTCTCTAAAGATACTCACTAAGAAGTATTAGGAGGTTTGCGTTGCGTTTTTCGATAGCCTCAGTGTGTGTATTGTGCAGTGGAGAAAAAGAAAGAGGAGACTGGTTTATGAAGATGCACTATCTTTATCACTCAATCATCTAATGGTCTCTTTCACACATTATACCCATTTCCTTGTCTCCTGCAGTGTGGAATGGATGTACTCTCAGGTCATTTGCCGTTTACAGGTGTCATCCAGATGTTTTCTTGCGTGTTCTGATGCTCCCTCTGTTAGTACTTAATGTCATTTTTTGCAGAAATGTTCCTGATGTCTAGCAAAGAGTATCACTCTCACAAAGAAAGAGTATCGCTTGAAAAAAAAACAAAAAAAAATGTGCTGAGCATAAACATGAATAAACATTTTTTTGGCATAAACATGACCAGCATGACACTGTCACGGCTGGTTTTCTCTCCGTTTTTGCAGTCGTATCCCGTCTGTGCAGAGCTACATGCTAAAAGGATCAATAGTAAGAAACAAAATATCCATACAGTGGAACACACTTAGGAATACTTGATTCATGAATCTGTTTTTTTTTTTTTGTAATTTTTTTGTATAATGCATAATGACCACTAAACTATATAATTGACCCATCCAACAAATTTCCTACATAAATGTGCTAGGTTCATGTCTCATATTTCTTTCCAGTCTCTTTGTTCGCCTATAATGAAATTATTTAAACTCAAATCAATATTTCATGTCCGTTTACTTATTAATTTATTTTCTCAAGTAGCTGCATTTATATAAATCTAAGTAATTCATATAATTTATATATTAATTAGTGCTGTCAACGTTAACACGGTAATGCATGTGATTAATTTGTGGCAGTTTAACGTGTTAAACGATTTAACTCAATTAACGCAGCATCCGTATTTTCTGTCATCCTATGGTTAACGTTACATATGAGCACACTCATTTGTTTGGTCCGGGCCGGGTAGGTTTCTCACCTGTAATTTTGATTCGGACCAAACTAAAAAGTCCGAAAGTGCGGACCAAACAAGTTAAGTAAGTGTGAAAGGGCCCTTAGTCATGCAAATGCTTTTAAACCATTCCAGCGTGACAAGACAAAGACAAAAGAACGCGCTGCTTGTGAATGTCCTCTCTGTGACATGCATCAGTTTCGTGCGCACAGCGTGTCCTTATCGAGTTCTCTTTTGCTTGTGTATCCTCATTAAAGCAGTCTTAAATGAGTTAAATAAAGTCTTAAATGAACGTAAAGAGTTTTGAGAAAATGAGACTCGTGTGAGATCTGCTTCATGTGCATCACCGGCAGGTCTTAAAGTGACAGCAGCCACAAAGGTAACAGAAAATTTCTCACTGCTCTTGAATAAAGAATTTTGTAGCTTTAATAAGGATTAGTGTATATTTAATTTATAATTTATGCAGTGCAAACTGTTTGATAATTTCATTATTCAATTTCTGTATATTTCTCAGGGTACAGATATGACATTTATTATAGGTTTATGTGAGTATTGTTTTAAGTTCACTTAAATTAACCACTCCAATTAAAAGTTGTTGTATTTTTTGAAGCCTAATATATATAAACTTTTAATTTAATTAACATTGAAATTATTACATCATAAAATAGATTAAAAACATTTAAAAACTTATCAAGATTAATCACAGAAAAGAAATGTGTGATTTAATCTAGTTAATGTTTTCAATCAATTGACGGCACTAATATGAATAGACATTTGTAATATTATATAATAAATATGTTTGTTTTATTTCCATATAATTGAATGAAAGTCTATCAGTCCTCATTTTTGCAATTAAATTTGTCTAGGTAGACTTTGAGTCTGTTCACACAAGATTTGCTGTTACCTTTGTAAAAAATATTATTTGTAATCTGTAACACATGCAGACAGACAGACAACTTAGACTGTTTTGTCATATTAACCTGTTTTTTCAGCATCTTGCTCAATGAGCACCATTTTTTTAAGATAGTGTCAAGTTAAAAGTATTGCAAACCCATTCTTTGCGACTGTGAGCAGCTCCATCTGCTCTCCGTAGGTTTGGTTTGATGGAATTGGAATTTCATATAAATTTCTTATCATAGCAAAAGCTTCCAAATCAACCATTGCAACATCCAGACTTCTTCCTGACTGCAGTGAGTCAAGAATTTGCGCTGACAAAGACCAAATATGGACTGTTTAGTTAGCATAATGATTATGAGAGTCAGAATTCCAAGCAATATCTTATGTTGTAATAAAATCATACAGCTTGAGCAGAACAATGTCTTTGATACATTTCATTCTTAGAGATAATAATCAAGCAAATATTTTTATTACATGCACTTTTTGTTTGGCATGTAATAATTTTGCACAGTCATAAATTGTTTTATCAGCAAGTGAGCTGTTTGTGCCTAATGGGGTTTTAAAATAATTTACTTATTCTTTTTCTTATACTTAGAACTTATTCAGGCGTCATCTCCTATCCGCTGTTTATAATGACAATTGACAAATGAGTAATGTTGTCACGGCGGTATTTGTCTTACATATTACATATCCTTTGCTTATAGGTTTTTGTTTTTTGCAGAGTAATGCCGTTTATCATCTTTTTAATGATGTTTTATCATTTTTGGAAACTAAATTTGCTATTTTTGTCTCTAAAACTGTTAAATGTGACGTCTCCTGACTTATTACCTGCCTATCCAGTGTAACAAAGCTCTTTTCAGCACTTTAATTGTAAAGATCCTTCCTTTCCACATTCAAGTGACCATTGAGTCAACTTTAAGCAGGTTTGTTGTTAACCTATGATGGATTGCCGTATAGGTTTTCTGCACAAAGCATTCAAGACTAAAAGTTTTGGCTGTGTCAAGTAATATTTCAAATAACTGGAAAGGACAAATATGTTTGAATCCCACCAAAAAAGTGTAAATGCTGGCTCAGTGATGTTATTAAAACATTACTCTTTCTTTGAGCATCCTTGACACTGCAAGCATTGGCTTGACCAATGGCATTAGTTTAGTGCACATTCTTTTGAGGTGAAAGTTGCGATTTTAGTATTCATATATTCAACAAATTCTTAAATGAGAATCATGACATGAAAAAATGATCCTAAGGAGCTGTTCACACAGAACACATTTTTTTCCTCACTAAGTTACTTTTCCATTGTTTTTAAACACATTCTAGACCAGCGTCTTTAACTGTTGTGCTCACATCTCACATCATCCTTTGCAGCATCTCGAGCATGACACGGCATTCTAAAAATACGCGTCTCAAGGCACCACTATTTTGAGTCTTGAGTTTTTAACAGTAAAAATGCATTCTGTGTGAACCTGCCCTAACACAATAAACAACAAAATTGTTTTTCATACAAGTATCCAATGGATCTTATAGATTTTTTTTTCTCCATAAGGCTGTTGTTAGTGTTGAGTGTGAAGGCCCAGCTCCAGACGAGGGCTGCTCCATGGGTAGGCCAATGTTGCATTGTTGGCAGTGGCTCATTTGAATAGCCCTTTAGTATTTTCTGTGAGCAAGTCAGCGCCATTTGCATTTGTTCCAGTCACAAAGGTTTACACAGGTCAATAGAGACCAAGCTAACATGCAGAGGAACCCTCTCTCCTCTTATTCTCCTTTCTCTCAACCTTCTTTTGCCCTTCCTTGGTTGTCATGATAAACTCTACCCGTCTCCCTGGGAATGTGTTTGTGCATACGTGTGTGCGTAGCAACACCTCAGATGTCTGGTGAGTGATTAATTCTAAGCTGGGAATAAGACTGAAAAGAGGCCCCTGGTAACCCTCAAGCAAACACCAACAATAATTTGATTATCACACTTGAACATGCTTATTTAGCCCATGCATGGTCGTGCATGCGTGTGTCTGTAGGTCTGCACACTGAGGCAGAACAACACAGAGCATACCTGATTAAATGGAGCCCATTCAGGACTGTTGTTTGTGAGCAGTTTGAATGGCTGCAGTGCTGACACATAGCTTCTTAGATGCGCGCACATAGACAGAACCAGAAGCCCTAGGTCTT